GAATATCAAAAATACCTAAAAAAAACCCCAACAATTCATCCTTTCTCTAAAGTTACAGTGATTAACCCTGACGCTCTGCATTGGGAATGAACTTTTACCTCTGGCACTACTGCCATTTAAAAATCAGCAACAACAACAAGTTGTGAACGGTGAACATCGTCCTCCTGGATGAGACTAATGTTCAAGCTGGGGTAAGAAAACAACAAAGGAGATTACAACAAGGGGATTTGAATCCTCCCAAAACTTCCACAGCTTTGAAATAATTAGTATGTAAAATCTAAAAATCCATTTGAATTGTTTGTGGAGAAAAGTCCAGATCACGCAAACTCGGTACTCTAAAACCTTTTACGAATTATTTATGATTACACTGCCAATTGTTTCTTTGAAGCATTTTAACTTGTGGGAGGGTAAAAATAATTCAATGTTTTATCATTTTCTGATGACTGTTTGCGATAAAAGCCTCAGTTATTATGTTGACATTCATGCTAAAAACACAACAACAACAACAAAAATTTAGAAGAATAGCCATTTATTGCACAAATATACTTATATACAGCCGAATATGTAACGCCTAACGACTCTTTCCATTTCGTAGCTGTTTTAAGCAAAATGTATGACTAAATTTTCCAAAATCAATCTTTTTGCTGCCGTAGCGGTAATGACTTTTGATTTCAAGTTGAAACGTCACAGTGAATTTTATGGAAACTTGTCCAAACTTCTCTCTGACATACCAATCATACAAACCAAAGTAGTTTACATGGACACCTATAAAAATACAAAAAAATGCTAATAAAAACCAATCAGGTGATGTATCATTATCTGTTGGTTCAGTTCACTGCACTTCCCGGGCTATCCTATTACCTAAAGGTCACACCGCCTCCGTGGTGTAGTGGTTCAAGTATTGTGGAAGTTGGGGATATATCCTGATGACCTTGTTGTAGCTTGGCCTTTTGTCTGTTTCAAGCTTGTTAGACACAAAGTTTTCAGTCCCCTGGTCGTGAGTGTGATTAAGCACAGGCAAATTGTAGCGCAAATAGGGTTGCGCAACAAGGAGAAAATTACCAGTCTTCCCAAAAGAATGGCTCGCGTATGGAAAGACTGGTAATTTTCTCTTTGTTGCGCACCCCTATTTGCGCTACAATTTGCCTGTGGATTAAGGGATGAGCCATGTCGGCGGGGAATACAGATTATACTGTGTGCTTTACATTTCGTATGATGGATTTATGTGTTGATATGATTTAAACAATATTTATTCATTATTAAATGAACGGATTGGTAAACAGGCTATAAGCCTATAAAAATACCTCTCCGAATACAATGCGATGGGAAACATTTTACATACATTCATCAGTACAGACAAGAGAACACACCATTTGAGGAGTGAAAGACTTAATGAAAAAGACAATAGCATAATTAATCAATTAGGTAAAAAATCGTTTTGTTAAGGTAAAATAGTCATGTACAGATTTTACAATATTTTCATTGATTTCGTCAGAATATGAGTAACTTCCACATAGTACAGATTGAATATTAAAACCATTTATGTAATAGAAACACTTCGATCGAATTGTATTAAAATTTGGACAGATAAATAGAAAATGAATGTCATCTTCATAATGATGGCCACAAGTGCAAGTAGACGTATTTTGAAGAAAACGGAAATTTATGTGCGTTTAAGTCACTACAGCCAAGTCTTAACTTACAATGAATTATTTGATTAAATCTATTACCAGTGTTTCTGAAGACATGATGTATGTTGGATGAGACAGTTCGATCAAAGTGTTTCTTGAACATGGCAACGGAATCTATGTTTCTTATACCATTATCTAATTTGTTCTACTCCATCACAGAGGATGTTAAAACATTTTTTTTATATGTTTCCGTACGACATAATGGTACTTGAAGCATATTACTAGATCTAGATCCATATTTGGATACAGAGGATATGTTTAGTGGAATTAGATCTGATAAATACTTTGGAGTTTTATTATGGAACATTTTATGAAATACATACATTTGGTGATTTTTACGACGTTCCCTTAATGATGAAAAAACAGTTTCATGGTAGATTTGGAATGACAAACTCCTCTAACTGTTCCACATATAGTTCTTAAAGCATCTAAGTGAAGTTTTTCCAACAATAACTCTTGAGTTTGTGTACAGTTGTTCCAAATATAATCACAATAGTCAAAAAGTGGTAAAACAAATAAACTAAAGAGGGTTTTGGAGGGTTTTCTTCTGAAGGCGGTATTTCAGACTTCTTAAACAATTGATCATAGGACTGACTTTAGAAATAATATCATCTATATGTATATTCCAGTGGCCATCACTTTGTAAAGTCAGCCCCCGATGTTTATGAGTGTCAACAGACTTTATCGGTATATCATTCATTATAAGATCTGGCATTGATGTTACTGTTTCCTTTCTAGAAAAAATGATAGATTCAGTTTTATTGGGATTAAAGTTTACTTTCCATGTTTGGGCACATTTAGCTATCATTTCTAAATCATCGTTTAACATATTGGAAGATACCATAGGGTCATCAATTATCACATATAAGGATGTATCATCGGCAAATAATTTAATATTACTCTGTATATCTTCAACAATATCACTGATATAAACCAAAAAGAGTAAAGGTCCTAGGACTGATCCCTGAGGGACGCCAGCTTCAATTGATTTAACATTTGACTTATACCCATTTATTACTGTAAACTGTTTTCTATTATTTAGATAACTTTCAAACCATATATATTCAGTGGATCTTTCAGGGACATGGAAGATGATTTGATCAAGAAGTAAGATTTTTTTACCTTTGTCATTAATACTCATTTTTTATTATTGTACCTATTGTAAATATAGTTAGTCTGCTGGAATTAAAATGTTTGTAAATCGTTGTGTGATCTCTCTTTGTTATGCACGGAGACCGTATTGTGGATCCACTCGTACCAATATGCAGACGGCAAATATGTGTTCGGTTTTTAAATTACATTTAGCGGTCTTAAATCAACGATAAAGGACCGCAAAATTGAAAACAGAGTAGCTTTATCTTCTAAATATAACAATGATATTTTATGGAAATACATAAAGACTCTCAAAGTGAAGCAAGTTGTTAATTTTCATTTCGGGTTAACCCATACCCTCGATTATCCGGTTCATTAAACCGCCATTCTGTTCCCGTAAATATCGTGTATTCTTCGCCAATAAAGCTAACCCGGATCTTCAGTGGTAAGACCTTCATTGAAGTTCCCCGTGTATTCAAATATTTGATATAATTCACGAATTTGACAGCCAGAGGGTGTTAGAGTGGTGTCTTTATATACAGTTCTATATTTGCTTCATCGTGACGCCGACAAGCACATCCCAATAACTGACCATTCAGGTTTCATGTATACGCGATAGACACATATCCTTATTTATTTAAGAAGAGCTCAACTAAGTTTTAATACCGAATGGACTCTGCGTGTTATACAGATTAATACCCTGCTTTGAGGGTGTGCGGGGGGTTATATTTTCCTTCACCGTCTCATTAAATGCTTCTGAATATATTTCCTTTTTATATGCTTCCTAATGTTGACACTTACGTATACTGCAGAGAAACCGATTTATGGTGGCCCTGCTGTGATACTGAGAGAGTGAGTTTAGTTTTACGCCGCTGTTAGCAATATTCCAGTAATACCACGGCGGGGGACACCAGAAATGGGCTTCACACATTGTACACATATGGGGAATCGAACCCGGGTGTTCAGCGTGACGAGCGAACGCATTAACAACTAGGCTACCCCCACCGCCCCTGTGATATTGATAAAAGCGGCGTACAGTCATTCTAACTCATTCGCTCCGTTCGATTTCCCGGGACGAACTGAAGGCTCTCCGCATTAGGGGATTTATAAACAAAGACAGGTCTTCACGTGTAGTTTTTCTTCGTGTCCACGTTACAGAGTTGGGTTTGAGGTCACATGGGCATTATTCCAGCCATATAGTGACGAGATCAAGTCAGAATTCATACACGTTTTAAATACTCCACCTTACATCGCGGTATGGGGCAACGTTGCACCACAGGCAAACTGTAGCGCAAATAGGGTTGCGCAACAGACAACAAAATGGAAAGACTTCCGCCCGTATCCCCCCTTAAATTTCATTCTGGTCAAATCCTATCACCTGAATATATATTCCTCATCTGATAAGGACGACTTTAACATGTTTCTTCCATTATATTTGAACATACTAAAAGACATATCCAACTTCTATAAGTGCCACTCAAAGAAATGTTTCCTCATCGTTAAAATTTAAGGGGGATAGGAGCGGAAGTCTTACCGGTTCGAAATTTATTATATTTAATATTAACGGTTTTCGATTCATGTATGGTATTGTACAAATAAGGTAAACCTTTTATGTCCTTGCCTGTGATATATTATCTTCCTTGTAGGGGCAGAACACCGGGAAACACGAGGTCAGGAAATATTAGAACAAGTTCGCGATAAGTATCAGGAAAGGAAATATTGTACCGTTCCTTATGATCGTTGTACGATCAGGAAAATTACCGACAATGGAATTTACTCCTATACGGACAAAAAGGTTATGTTTCTATAAAGCGTGAAAAGTGTTAAGCGACCCCTCCACGTGACTGCAGGAACATGACTGGTGGAGGATCAGTCATGGCGTGGTTGTCTATCCCATGCCTGCCAGACGGCCTCCTCTGGAGGAGGATCAGTCATGGCGTGGTTGTCTGTCCCATGACTGCCAGACAGCCTCCTCTGGTGGAGGATCAGTCATGGCGTGGTTGTCTGTCCCATGACTGCCAGACGGCCTCCTCTGGTGGAGGATCAGTCATGGCGTGGTTGTCTGTCCCATGACTGCCAGACGGCCTCCTCTGGTGGAGGATCAGTCATGGCGTGGTTGTCTGTCCCATGACTGCCAGACGGCCTCCTCTGGTGGAGGATCAGTCATGGCGTGGTTGTCTGTCCCATGACTGCCAGACGGCCTCCTCTGGTGGAGGATCAGTCATGGCGTGGTTGTCTGTCCCATGACTGCCAGACGGCCTCCTCTGGAGGAGGATCAGTCATGGCGTGGTTGTCTGTCCCATGACTGCCAGACGGCCTCCTTTGGAGGAGGATCAGCCAAGGCGTGGTTGTCTGTCCCATGACTGCCAGACGGCCTCCTCTGGAGGAGGATCAGTCAAGGTGTGGTTGTCTGTCCCATGACTGCCAGACGGTTTCTTTTGGAGGAGGATCAGTCAAGGTGTGGTTGTCTGTCCCATAAGAATCAAGGAGCTTTCCACGCACTCCATTGTCCTTTGTGCCAAACTCTATCAAAAACCTTTGATACATCGAAAAAGACCATATAATAGTATTCATTGTTATCTGAAACCTCATTAATTTCGATTTTAATGCTTGCTAATACCACATCGGTATGGTTGACAAACAGTGGCAAACAAGTGGTATCTGTACCAATTAAATTAGATATAGATTCAAAATATTTAACATATTAGCTTTATCAACGGAGGAGGATCAGCCAAGGTGTTGGTTGCTTGTCCCATGATTGCCAGACTGTCTCCTTTGGGGGAGGATCAGTCATGGTGTGGTTGTCTGTCCCATGACTGCCAGACTGTCTCCTTTGGGGGAGGATCAGTCATGGTGTGGTTGTCTGTCCCATGACTGCAAGACGGTTCCCTTTGGAGGAGGATCAGTCATGGTGTGGTTGTCTGTCCCATGGCTGCCAGACTGTCTCCTTTGGAGGAGGATCAGCCAAGGCGTGGTTGTCTGTCCCATGACTGCCAGACTGTCTCCTTTGGGGGAGGATCAGTCATGGTGTGGTTGTCTGTCCCATGACTGCCAGACTGTCTCCTTTGGAGGAGGATCAGTCATGGTGTGGTTGTCTGTCCCATGACTGCAAGACGGTTCCCTTTGGAGGAGGATCAGTCAAGGTGTGGTTGTCTGTCCCATGACTGCCAGACTGTCTCCTTTGGAGGAGGATCAGTCATGGTGTGGTTGTCTGTCCCATGACTGCCAGACTGTCTCCTTTGGAGGAGGATCAGTCATGGTGTGGTTGTCTGTCTAATGGCTGCAAGACGGTTCCCTTTGGAGGAGGATCAGCCAAGGCGCGGCTGTCTGTCCCATGACTGCCAGACTGTCTCCTTTGGAGGAGGATCAGTCATGGTGTGGTTGTCTGTCCCATGGCTGCAAGACTGTCTCTTTTGGAGGAGGATCAGCCAAGGCGTGGTTGTCTGTCCCATGACTGCAAGACGGTCTCCTTTGGAGGGGGATCAGCCAAGGCGTGGTTGTCTGCCCCATGACCCGTGACAGCAAGACAGTATCCTATATGGCAGAGGATCAATTATGGTGTGGGTAGCCTGTCCCATGACCCGTGACAGCAAGACAGTATCCTATATGGCAGAGGATCAATTATGGTGTGGGTAGCCTGTCCCATGACCCGTGACAGCAAGACAGTATCCTATATGGCGGAGGATCAATTATGGTGTGGGTAGCCTGTCCCATGATCCGTGACAGCAAGACAGTATCCTATATGGCGGAGGATCAATTATGGTGTGGGTAGCCTGTCCCATGACCCGTGACAGCAAGACAGTATCCTATATGGCGGAGGATCAATTATGGTGTGGGTAGCCTGTCCCATGACCCGTGACAGCAAGACAGTATCCTATATGGCGGAGGATCAATTATGGTGTGGGTAGCCTGTCCCATGACCCGTGACAGCAAGACAGTATCCTATATGGCGGAGGATCAATTATGGTGTGGGTAGCCTGTCCCATGACCCGTGACAGCAAGACAGTATCCGATATGGCGGAGGATCAATTATGGTGTGGGTAGCCTGTCCCATGACCCGTGACAGCAAGACAGTATCCCATATGGCGGAGGATCAATTACGGTGTGGGTAGCCTGTCCCATGATCCGTGACAGCAAGACAGTATCTGTCCTATATGGCGGAAGATCATTATGGTTTGGGTCAGCGCCTGTCCCGTGACCCGTGACAGCAAGACAGTATCCTATATGGCAGATGATCAATTATGGTGTGGGTAGCCTGTCCCATGACCCGTGACAGCAAGACAGTATCCTATATGGCGGAGGATCAATTATGGTGTGGGTAGCCTGTCCCATGACCCGTGACAGCAAGACAGTATCCTATATGGCGGAGGATCAATTATGGTGTGGGTAGCCTGTCCCATGACCCGTGACAGCAAGACAGTATCCAATATGGCGGAGGATCAATTATGGTCTGGGTAGCCTGTACGATGTGTGAGTGACGGATGTGCCTATTGCCCTGGAATCGGAAAAGTGACAGTACCAGGCGCCAAATCCCGAATTCAATCGTACGAACAAATTTAGAAAACCATCATCTGACTACCATACTCGGCCACCTGGACGATAACAGGATGGTGGGGTAGCCTAGTGGTTAAGGCGTTCGCTCGTCACGCTGACGACCAGGGTTCGATTCCCCACATGGGTACAATGTGTGAAGCCCATATCTGGTGTTCCCCGCCGTGATGTTGCTGAAATATGGCTAAAAGCAGCGTAAGGGCAAACTCGCGCTCCATAACATGAAACCACTGCAGTTTCGACAGACGCTTGACCATCGCTTGCCTCACCAGAGTCCAGGTTTGAACCCACTGGAACACACAAAGGGCAAGCTGGACAATCGTGTAGCCAGTCTGCAGGAAGTGGCTCAAACACTTTTCCGAGAATGGCGAAATCTACTATAGCGTTCTCAGAAGCACAGGCCCTCGTGTCTTTGCGAAGATTAAAGATAAAAAAATAAATATTTTAATTTATTTTTTTAGATGACCCCAGACTGGAAATACTTCACAGTGCAATACATCGTGATTTATTGTACTGTGAAGTATTTCGAGTCGGGGGTCATCTCAATTTCTTATATACTTTTTAAGAATCTTAAATCCTCGCAAAAACACTAGGGCCTGTGCTTCTGAGGACGCTATAGTAGATTTCGCCATACTCGGGGAAATATCACATGTATATGTGTCAGCGTTTTCAATCTTCCTGGATTTTGCAGATATATACGAGTAGGTCATGTTTTACTTCACATATAGTTCAAATATTGTCTACGTACGTAAAATAGAAGTATATAGTATGAAATAGAGTAGGAGTAGTAGTAGTTGTTATGCCAGAGACACTTTGTAATACAGCTCTACTGTCGTAGCTTCTAATATGCTGAAAAACAACAACATATCTGCGGTGAAAGTAATATTCTGTTTTTGAGAGTTTTAATTTCAGGAAAAAAGTTCATTAACAACAATAAACTCACAAACATACAGTGAGTGAGTGAGTGAGTGAGTTATTCCAGGCCACCGCCGTGATATTGTTAAAAGCGGTGTAAAACGCTGCACTGAGTTATGTTTTACGCCGCAGTGGACAGTGTTGCTGTTATATGATTTAAAGTTTCTGTGTCGGCTAATGGCACACCGCGAATTGTAGCGGTTTAAGCGACTGAGCCCTCCATGGTTCCTCAGGCCTAGATTGTTTGTCTGTTCCAGACTCGATTATTTACAGACCGCCGCCATACAGCTATGTCTTGATAAGCCCTTAGCGGGATTACGTGTTCTTAAATCTACCAAGGAGCCTACAGGCACTAATATTGCCAGTAATACGTTACGTTACGTTACTCATCCTCGATAATGTAGGGTATTATATCTTCTTTCTGGTAAAGACACATGTCATTGGTTCCCAATTGCGTAGATTGATGCTTATGTTGTTGATCACTGAATTGTCTGGTCCAGACTCGATTATTTTAGATCGCCGCCATATAGCTGGAATATTGCTGAGTGCGGCGTAAAACCAAACTCACTCACTTTCTGGTAGAACAAAGATCTGCACCCATTTGCCATCATATATGTTTATGAGCCTTGTTCAAGTGACACGAGGCAAAGTGCAGGTCTAATCAGGTGTTGAGTCGAAACTGAAACAAACGGCACTATCACATGTACACGTCTTCACTGCTGCTGCCGCCTCTAATACAACCGGACCATCTGGCAACACAAGGACGTCGCTCCACTGCCATAGTTTGTGTGTTTTGTTTGTTTGTTTGTTGTTTAACGCCGATCTTGGAGTGAGTGAGTTTAATTTTACGCCTCAATCCGCAATATTCCAGCTATATTCCGGCGGTCTGTAAATTATCGAGTATGGACCAGACAATCCAGTGATCAATAGCATGAGCATCGATCTACGCAAATGGACATGTGTCATCCAAGTCAATGAGCCTCGGTGTCCTCAGGAAAAGAAACCCTTAACCATCAAGGCAACTGTAGCCACTAGCAGGGCGGGGAAGAATAGCAGAAACAAGGTCATATCTAAACATTTGCTGACTCGTTTCCAGGTCATTGCATTATCACCATGGCAACGTCTGCCATCCTTGCAAAAATCACAAGACAATGACATGCAATTCGATTCAACGGTCTTATCAATACTGTCATTGTTTTTCTGGTTATCGGAACGGCTGACTGATTTTAATGACTGGCGTTCATTTTTCTTTCCACGACAAAGAATTTGTTCAGTAAGTCTGGTCACATTCGCGACAATTACCGGAACTCCGGTTTCGGCTTTCTTGTACAGCCTCGTTATCATAATCGTCAAACCGACGAAGGTGGAGCTGACAACGAGGCTGGCGATCAAGATGATGGAGAGACTGGATGTGGTTTTGGACGTCTTTGGGAGCATGTTGGTGATGTAGGACATGAGGACGCCATACGCCAGGAGGATGGTGACGGCAAAGCCGATCTTCTCCCCGGAGTCAGCGGGGATGAGGAACACGCATGAGTTGAGGATGGCGAGGAGGGCTGGAAGGGAATGGTGATCGACACAATGTATGGTGATGAGTGAGTTTCAATGTGAGAGACAGAGAGTGTGTCACACACACACACACACACACACACACACACACACACACACACACACACACACACACACACACGCACACACACACACACACACACACACACACACACACACACACACACACACACACAGACAGAGACAGAGACAGAGAGAGACAGAGAGAGGGAGACAGAGAGAGAGACAGACACACAGAGACAGAAAGAGACAGTGACATAAAAGTGACAGAGCGACAGACAAAAAGAGACAAAGAGAGACAGACAGAAAGAGACAGAGCGACAGACAGAACGAGACACGCAGAGAGTGACAGAAAGAGACAGAGTGACAGAGAAAGTGAGAGACAGAGAGACAGAAAGTGACAGAGTGAAAGAAAGACAGAAAGAGACAGTGACAGAAAGAGACAGAGAGTGACAGACAGAAAGAGACACGCAGACACAGAGAGTGACAGAAAGAGACAGAGAGTGACAGAGAAAGAGAGACAGACAGACACAGTGACAGAAAGAGACAGAGAGTGACAGAAAGAGACAGAGAGCGACATACAGACAGAGACAGAGACAGACAGAGTGACAGAAAGAGAGACAGAGACACACAGACACAGAGAGAGACAGAGACATGACAGAAAGAGACAGTGACAGAAGAGACAGAGGACAGAAAGAGACAGTGACAGAAAGAGACACGCAGAGAGAGGACAGAAAGCGACAGAAAGAGACACAGTGAGTGACAGAAAGAGAGACAGAGAGTGACAGAAAGAGAGAGACAGAGAGAGACACAGATGACAGAAAGATGACAGTGAGAAAGAGACAGAAAAAGACACAGAGTGACAGAAAGAGACAGAAAGTAGTGACAGAAGAGACAGAGGGACAGACGAATGAAAGAGACAGACAGGAAAGACAGAGAGAATGACAGAAAGAGACAGTGACAGAAAGAGACAGAAAGACAGAAAGAGACAGTGACAGAGAGACAGAGACAGAAAGAGACAGTGACAGAGAGAGTGAAGAAAGAGAGACAGTGACAGAAAGAGACAGAGACAGACAAAAGACAGACAGACAGAGAAGAGACAGTGACAGAAAGAGACAGAGTGACAGAAAGAGACAGACACAGAGACAGACAGAAAGAGACGCAGACACAGAGAGTGACAGAAAGAGACACAGGGTGACAGAGAGAGAGACAGACACAGAGAGACAAAGAGAGAGAGAGACAGAAAGAGACGCAAAGACAGCTACCTATCGTGCAGGTAGGGTATTATTTTCAGTAACAACATAGTTTATGTACCATGTAGTTAAAACCATAAAACCCGAAAGTGAAGCAGATCTTAGTTTGGTTTAGTTTAGTTGTGGTTTACCGCCACAGTTAGCAATATTCCAGCTATATGGCGGCAGTCTGTGAATAATCGAATCTGGACCAGACAATCCAGAGATCAACATGATGAGCATCGATCTACGCAATTGGGAACCGATGACATGTGTCAACCAAGTCAGTGAGCCTGACCACCTGATCCCGTTAGTCGCCTCTTACGACAAGCATGAGTATTTTTAAGATCAATTCAAACTCTGATCTTCACGGAAAAGCAGATCTCAGACGTGTACCACTTGGTGTGACAAACAACGAGAAGCATACCTATGGGTAAGATGATGTTGTTGAGGACGAATTTGGGACGTCTTTTCAACGTCAGCTTCATCACAACAGCAGGCTTGCTTGACGTGTCTGAGTACCGGATCTCCTTGGAGACGTCTGTCGAGACTAACTCCCATTTCCCGTTAGCCCTGAAACTGCTAACGCCCACCGTAGACGCCATAGGGAGGAGATTCACGGCCGCAAGAATGTAGTCCCAGAGTAGAAGCTCCACCCTACACTCCTGGGTGTCAAAGGGAAATGCACTTGTATCTATTTCACAGTACACGTCAAAATTGGCCCCAGGTTTCCACCTGACGGTTCCGTTTGAAAACACATGTACAAGATTCGTACTATCTGTGACTGGGTTGAATGTTGACATCGTATTGGCGACGGCGACATTGGGCCGCCAGATTTGGTTTGCAGGCGGATGGATCGACATAGTACCGCCATACTGCATCGGGTCCCACGTCAGGAACGGGTCGTGCCACAGGATGTCCAGCCACGCCGTGAACGACAGATTTTCCGACACCTCGTCAAAGTTGGTGATTGCGACGATGTGGAGTTGAACGGTGACGTTGATCTGGTCAGTCTGGTTGAGAACCGGGCGGATGTAGGGGTTATGTGACCAGATCTTATCGTCGAACAGGCGTTTCAGGTCGTCTGCTTCTTGAGCAGACGACATCCACCACAGAAGCAAAGAGAGCAAATATCGCACAACGGTTTTCGCCGTCATTTTGAAACACGTGTTTTTGACAAAGATCAAGTCAAGTTAGAGTTGTGATGTGAAGTTGTAGATGAGTTTGTCGTAGGGAAGTTTAAGTGAATGTTAATAGCTTCTCTCTCCTCCACTTTTCTTGTTTTTAAACTTTGTTTACAGTTCCGGTGTAGGTGTAAACAACCACTATGCTATGTGTCCTGTAACGTAATAATGAACAACAACAGGTATAATCTCACTTGTGAAAAATGGCAATTACATATAAGGCAAAGCAGATTGATTCCTTAGTGTAACAGGCTTATCGCTGAAGAGTGAGTGAGTATGGTTTTACGCCGCTTTTAGCAGTATTCCAGCAATATCACGGCGGGGGACACCAGAAATGGGCTTTACACGTTGTACCCATGTGGGGAATCGAACCTGGGCCTTTGACGTGATGCGTGAACGCTTTAACCACTAGGCTACTCCACTGCCCCTTATCGTTGAAGAAAGTATATATCATCATATCGTTAGATTTACTTCTGACTGCAGAATCGTGATGTCATGCTCTCTTGATTATGTGACAACGATCATATTCTTTTTGCAATTCAAGATGTCACAGTTCCACCAAGCATTCACCAATAAAATGTTGCTTATCATCAATGCGTCATCGACGACGAGATAACCACGCTTCATGGTACACGTTGACGACGTTGAAAACACAAGAAGAATTTTGCTCACCCCCACCATCAGTTGGCCAACACTTTCAACCATACAATGTGTGTGCTGCGAAACAGGATTTAGAAATAATCTACTTTTAGTTTTCTATTTTGATCTGGTAATCACGATGTGAGAATACATTAAATCAGTGGCGACGGAAAATCATGCCCTCCTATATCTCCCCACACCTTCCTCCCCATTACTGATCCGGGTTACAATTGATCTTCAGTAACCCATGCTTGTCGTAAGAGGCAACTAACGGGATCGGGTGGTCAGGCTCACTGACTTGATTGACACATGTCATCGGTTCCAAACTGTGCAGATCGATGCTCATGATGTTGATGACCGGAATGTCTGGGCTAGATTGTATAATTAACAGACTGACGTCATATAGCTGGAATATTGCTGAGTGAGGCGTTAAACAACAAACAAACAACCACGATTGTTTAATCAGGTTGGTCTGGTTCTGTGACGTGGATGGTGCCATATCTTCGTACCACGGTGTGGTGAATCGTTCATGATATCAATCACTTGATTGACTAGTCTGGACTCGATTATTAGCAGGCAGCCGTAAAAATGGGATATTCGGGAGTGTGGCGATGAAATCAAAAATAGATACAGATTCAATGACTTCCATTCACTGAAGGGGCGGTGGGGTAGCCTAGTGGTTAAAGCGTTGGCTCGTCACGCCGAAGACCCGGGTTCGAATCCCCACATGGGTACAATGTGTGAAGCCCATTTCTGGTTTCCCCCGCCGTGATGTTGCTGGAATATTGCTAAAAGCGGCGTAAAACCAAACTCAGTCAGTCAGTCTGTCTTCTCCGTGCAATCAAAGGAAGAAATTTCACTGTCATGTCCGTGCCATCTGGACAATACAGAGCGCATATTACACAGTAGTGCATATTTTCAAATCTGAATCTTTACGTAAATATACATATGTACTTACCTTGAAACGTCTATATACCTGTATTACTTCATCTACTTTTGCTGTAATTGTTGCCACACACAATTCTCGGTTCTGCAGTATTCGTCAATGATCAATGACCACTGCGATAAATGAATAAATGACCAAGGTCCGTGAATAGAATGTGCAGTAAAGTATTGACTCATGTGACCACATGCCCATAACGAGGCTATCAGTGCATGACGCTACTGACAGCACTCCACGCGCCAGCAGCTGAACACGTGGGTGCCCGGTCGTTTAGACAGTTATCGCATGACATTCATCACTTATTCATCAGATAATTGAAGTGATCTGACAGAAGGATCAAAGCGATGTGAATTGTTTCCATTGTAGCACTGTCGATGTAAGGATTGGTTTTACCCGACGTGTAGATGTGATTGACAAGGACTTAAAGGGAGGCTACTCCCGAGCAAATTGGCAGGTCCAGCACGTTTCATTCATTTTAACGTGAGTATGTATGATGTTACGCCGCTTTGAGCAATATTTCAGCAATATCACGGCGGGGACACCAGAAATGGTCTTCACACATGGGCAATGGAACCCGGGCCTTCGGTGTGACGAGCGAACGCTTTAACCACTATGACGACCCCACCGCCCTTTAAGCACTGGCTCGTCACGCCGAAGACCGGTTCGACATATTGGTTGAGTGAAGCCCATTTTTGGTGTCCCCACCGTGATATTGCTGGAATATTGCTAAAAGCGGCGTAAAACCAAACTCAGTCAGTCAGTACTTTGCCAGGTAACTCAATTGTCATGATGATCATTCACACTTGAACCGAGAGGACTGGTATGGTTTTGCGTAACTATTACCATGAGCAAATTCAAGGCGAGGGATACGGGAAATAGGCTTCACGCACTGTACCTATGTCCGTTTGGCTCAAAAGCGGACTAGGTGATGTATTGTTGATGTATACCGCGAAAGGATGGGGAAAGCCACTTTAACTTAGTGCGCCTAGTGGCTTCAAGAGTTGTATGATCCCCAGGGAGTTGAGATTGAAACATACGATGTGCTGTTGAGATTGACATCCAATGATCGAGGGGAAAACAAAGCGCTTTGAGCATGGAGGTGAGGTGAGGTGAGGTGAAATTGTGTTTAACGTCATACTTGAGAATATTTCGCTCATATGACGACGTTTGAGCATGACTATAGCGCTATATAAATACCCATATAATATAATAATATATAATTGTTGATGCGCCAACACTTCAGTGCCAACAACCAGTAGGCTACCAAACCGTCCTAAACTGGTCATGACTACCCAAAACCAAACAGACGCAAAGCACCAGTTCCACAAAAGGCACCAATGACAATGAAGGGATAAACCTAGAGGACAACATGACACACACTCGTGAGATTTTGATACTTTGAAACAACGTCTTGTAAATGGTTGTCTTCAGTCAATCAAATCTGCTGTTTGAAAAAACGTTTGGTGGGATTGTGTGTAATTAGGGCTCACTGCCCACATGGAGGCAATGGTGGAAACCAATCGCCGTGTTCCCAGGCTGATCACTCTTTATTCCCGAGCACATACTCAGATGGCTCTATTGAATAATTAATGTCAGTGAAACACGGGCAGAACGTGCACAGGTGAGCTGAAATAGGGGTAAATGTTGCGTTCATACATGTAAATGTACTGATGATACTTGTCCGGACTAATGTTGCTCTTTCTTAAATTACATTTGTGACGTCATTCCATTGTTTGCTCGCTCCATTACTTTTCGGGAATGGAGCGATGTGTACCAGTTTCAAATTAGAGCCTTCATTTTGTCATTTAATTTTGATAACAGATATTTCCCCAGTTCTTTGAATGTAATTTAAGCAGGGTAATATCCTCGTAACTCTCCATTCCTTAAAAATAATGTGCCTCGGCCCCTCCGAGGCTTGTCCCGGAATAACACGAGTCGTCAACTGAACGTACAAAGAGTTTTTTTACATTTCCTTTTTCCCTTATAAAAATTCTTTAATTAAGCACCGTATTTCCTCGTTCTCGGAAACTAACAATCTGTATTCCCCCGGATCTAGCGTTACACGGATTTCCATGAAATAACTCGCTATCCCGAAACTAGCTCTATCCAAGATAGATGTTGGTCGTACAACAAAACAGATATACAAATGAGTACTTCGATGATTTAGTACGCAATTATGAGAGTCTTAAGCTGCTCAGATAGTTGTACTGCCCATGGAATATATCGCGTTTTGAAGTATCAGATTGTGCGTTTATAGTCAATGTGAATCATTACGTGGGAGGGGTGGCCTTGTGGTTGAAGCGTTCGCTCGTCACTCCGAAGACCTGGGTTCGATTCCCCATATGGGTACAACGTGTGAAGCCCATTTCTAGTGTCCTCCGTCGTGATATTGCTGGAATATTGCTAAAGTGGCGTAAAACTGAACTCGCCCACTCACTCATTATGTGGGAAATTATGTAGCTTCACTTGAACAGTGATATTACGGCTGTGACTGCGGTAGGCAAATAAGAAACCCCCCAACGTCATCGACGTATATTGACAGCAGTGGGAAGGCATCACAAAACACAACTCACTCACTCCTTGCCATCCCTGGGTAACATCGTCACCAGTGTTAATATATTGATCCTAGCCATGACAAAACAGTGGCTGCCAGAATGCAACGATCCGCAACTTGCATCCCGCTGCTTGCCATTCACATCCTCGTCACTTCAGCACTTTTAGGCACACACTCCTTGTAAGAGTATGTCAGTGAGTGATTGTGGTTTGATGCTAGTCAGTACTGTCGAACATCAATGTCTCGAACTCAGTTGAGACGAATTCTCGCTTGTGTCGAACTCGCGGTCCATGCCGATTTCTTTCGATTTTTATCAGTACTTTTACCCTAATGTCTCGAGCTATATGTGTCGAAATCCCGGTTCAGTCGAACTCATTTTAGGGTCCCGAAAAGCCCAAATCAGTACAAAGTTACACTTTTGTCTTCAACTGCCATTTCATATGCTGACGAATCTGTCGAACACTTTGATAAGTCGAACTTTCCCCTGGTCCTGGCGAGTTCGACACAATGAGGTTTGACTTATATTACTACAGCCTGCATATAATCCCATCTTTGTTCAAAAGGCACTGGCCATGATGAAAGGCAATCAAACTAAATTTGTTCTACTGGGAATTATTCAGGCTATGACAGGGTATCACGTTAATAATTAAGTGTTGGCCAAACAAACCAGTGGTCGATATTATGAGCAATGATCCGCATCACTGCTACTGGGAGAGTAATCAAGTCAGTGACCAAACAGATTCATTATAGCAGTAAATGTCTGGGACAAGCACTTGTGTTTTGTACAAGCACCAGTGTCTAGGACAGATCCTACCTTGGAATCCCCAGTGTTATCAA